ACCCAGACCAAGCCAACAGGCTCCTCCGAGAGAAGCGGGGACCCCCCTCCCACCAGCCCCCACAGAGGCTGGGGGACCCCGGGCTGCCCGGCCCCATACCTTGGGGTCCATGCGGAGGAAGTTGTGTGGTCCCCGACTGCTCAGTGTCGAGCGCTTAAACGTCTTGCTGTGGTGAAAGTGGTAGTAGTTTTCCAAGCTCCCGATCTGCAAAAAGAGAGGCTTTTTTTAAAAAAAAATCAGGTTTTCCTGTGGTTGCCCCCCATTTCAGTGCCGGCAGCATCCCTTTGTGCATCGGTGCAGCCGTGCCCTGCACCGCAAATCCCTTGCTCACACAAAGATCCCTGGCAAAGCCGGGCTTCAGGGAAGGGATGCAGGATGCTGGCACTAAACCTGGTGCCACCACCGTGGCAAACAGAGCTGGTGGCCGGACGCTGCACTGGCACAACAGAGCCCGGAAAACATTTCTATGAATTTTCACCCATTAAATGCATCTTTGCAAACTGCCTTCCATCAGCTCCCAAGCAGAAATAATGAGCTAAAGATGAGCTCAGCAGCTGCGGTGGAGCCAGGAGAGCTGTGCGTCATCGCGCTGCCTTTCCCCACCCGACGCTCTGGCTTCGCCCCGGCAGCAAGAACAGCCCCATAAGGAGAGGTGAATGCAATCCCTGCTAGCCCTGGGATGCTCCTGGGAAGCACGGGATATAAATGCGCTTAGCCTGGAGTCAAGGACGGCAGCAGGAGGAGTCAAAAAAAAAATCTCTCCAAGCAAACCAACCGTCCTTCCCAAGGGATGTATAATACATGCCCCAGAGTCCCTCCCCAGCAGCAAGTGCAGCCTGGGAATGAAGGCGAGCTGGGAGAGGCAGCCCCACTGGCTCCCTTCAGCTCAGGGAAGCCCCACACTCCTCTTTTACAAGTTTTTGCCCTTTTTTTTTCTTGCACGGAGCTGAAATGTCCCGCATTTGCGGGAAAACACCGTGCCAGCCACGCCACCCTGCCAAGCCCCAGGGTGGCCGCGCTGCCTCCAGCCCTCTCATCCTGGCAGCTGGAGATGCCACAACTCCTCTTTTTCCATCCCAAAAGCATGGATAAAGTCTCGGGGCTATGCAATGAGCTGGGCGATCTTGGCCAGGTGCCTCGTGACGAGAATCCCACAGGGATTCATAGCTGCAGGGATGGGAATGACCCAAAAGCTGCACTCACTGGCATGCGGCTCCCAGGTCACACAATTTTGGTACAAATTGGGTCTCTGCTATAAATTCCCTTTTCCCTGAGGTTGGTTTTCTTTCCCAAAAAAACCTGTCCCATGGCCAGGAGCTGGATGCTGCAGGGAGCCAGGGAGCCCCCATCTGCGACCCAGGAGCTGGGGTGACATCCCTGAGGCCACGTGTGACCCAGGGGCCAGGGCGACGTCCCTGAGGCCAGACCAGGGCTGGCTGCAATGGGACAGGGGGGAGCAAACAGGCTTGTCCGGACCAGATGCTGAAGCAGATGATGACAACTACTTACATCTTTATCACACTTAATACACTGAGATGTGCCAGTGCCTCTTATGAGCATTAAATATTTAATTAGTTTTGTTCTGCCTTTTATGCCAGAATGTCATTTCACTGACTTTACTGCCGTTAGTGTGATTTTTGTAATTTGTTTCCACTCAAGTTCGTTTAAACCCTCCCTCGCCCCCCGGCCTTTTTCTTTGCATTACAGCATAGCTGTGCATTTTTTTTAACATCTACATGCAAAGCAGTTGCTCATTGCAACCTGCATTTGGCTTTTAAAACCCATTCCTCAAACACACTCATACCTAGGAAAGGGAAGGAGGATGCTCCAACCTCCCCATATTTTAGGGAAACCTTGCACAAGGCCACCCTGCCTCTTGCTCACTCTGCCTGGAAATCCCGATCCCGCAGCCCGGGTGGTTCAGCTCCACATCCGCCGGCTCAGCCTGCAGTTTGCAGGTTTATAATATTCAGTTTATTCTCATCGCCGGTCCCTCTGGCTTAAAGTCGTAACAGGATCACGCTCTATAAACAAGCATCAGCTGAAGAAGCGCTTCTGTTCCCCACCGGAGCAGGCGTGGGGCTTTTCGGAAATAAATGCAAAATTACCACGCGATGCAAATCAGCAAGAGGACAGGGAGGGAGATGACCCCATCCCAGGCCCTGGGGATACGTGGCCAGAGCAGCAGGAAAAGCACCCTGTGCCCCAGGTTCTTTATCCTCCTGGGATTTATGGAAGGAAAAATAAGGAAAACCTTCTCATGTTGGGGCTACCTTGAAAGCCGGCCCCGCTCTGAGCAGAGGTTGGACCCGGTGGCCTCCAGAGGCCCCCTTCCACCTAAGGTATTCTAAGGAGAAAAATTTTTAAATGCCATTTTTTTTAATGGAGAAGTATTTGTTCTCCTCCTTGAGGTCAGTCAGCTCAGTGAGGGCTCCACAGTGCCACTCCTGGGGATGGGAGACACCCAAGAGAGTTGGGTTTTCTCCTGCATACACCACCAGCGAGGCCACAGCCCCGTGGCCACAGCGATGGGGATGCTGGGAAACGCAGCGGAGCAGGACTTTACCAAGGGCTGATCCTTCCTGGCTACCTAGATGAGCAAGCGTACCCATCAGCTCCCGATCAGCCAGAATACAGCTGCCCACGCTGAAAGGTCCCAGCTCCGCCGCAGAGGACATAATCCAGGTTGCCACCAACTGCAGTTACAAAGCCCACCCACCTGAAGCCCAGGAGACCACGCCGAGCACCTCCAGACATGCTTGTTCCCTCCCCAAGTGCATTTGCAACTATCGACCTTGATTTTTTTGGACATCTAACTTCTCCCGAGAACGTGCACAGGAGCTTCTTATTTCCACAAGGATTGATTTTAATTTTCCCAATTGATTTGCAGTTTTGGGCTGAAGTTTCAGAGGAAACCTGAGGTTTTTTGAGGCAACTTGAATTTATAACTCAACAAAAATGAGGTGGCTTTCTTCCCCCCCTGTTAATTGAGGCAGAGGTAGCCCTGGCTGGTGCTGCCCAGCTCAGGTGGGCTGCAGGTGGAGCAAGCCAGGAGCAACGTGAACACGTTTCACACCCTGCAAAGCCATCGTCACTATGCCGAGGGCGTCGATGGCTCCGCTTCCAAAAAACCACACACCTGCCAATGTCATCCAGCCAAACGGGGAAGAGTTTGAAGCTGAAGGAGCTACTCGTGGCCCTGATGGGACCCAGGTGGTTAGAGAGAGATGGAGACGCACAGCAAAAGGATGAGAGGCAACAAGTAAGGGGAGAAATCCTATCTGGGTATAAAGACAGTAATTCTTTGTGTAGGGTGGTGACACACGGGCCTGGGGAGGTGGTGGGATCTCCATCCTTGGAGAGCTTCGAACTGCACCTGGCTGAGGCTCTGCACAGCCTGCTGTAGCCTCAAAGTTAAGTGGGGGGGTGGACCAGAGACCTCCACAGGTCCTTGCCAACAGGAATTACTCTACAAATACAGTTCTTCACAGTGTTAAAAAGAGGTATGCAAGGGGTTTGGCTGTCTCCCAATCTCCTTTTCCATTCCCCTTTTTCCCCCTCTCCCCCATATCCCAGTGCCACCTGCAAGCTCCTCAAAAGTGGCACCGGGGCAGGGAGAGGCGCCCAGGAGATGCTCCTGCAGCAGCACCCGGCTCTCCCGATGCATTGCCAGGCAGAGACAAGCCCAGCGCCTGCCTTACCTCATTAACAGCCATTAGTATTTCAAGCAGGTTCAAGATCGCTTGTAGCTAACGAGACATAGCAAAAAAGAGCTTTTTGGGAGCTGGACACCACCAAGGGCAGCACTAGAGCCCGTCAGGGCATTTCTGAGCCCATTCTTTCCCTCCCCATCGCAGCAAAGTCTTCCAGCATCTCACCCAAACCATCCCATTTCTGCAAAATGCAGCTGCATCACCACTGGGGTCCTCCAGGAGGACGGATCTGGCTGGGGAGCCGTGCCTGCTTCCCTCCTGGGGACACCACCTATCCCCATCGGGGACAAGGGCTCCAGCCGCTGAGCTCCTGCCTTCAGGAATGTCATTCTCAGACAGTCACGGCTGGATTTAGCCCAGTAAGGACCGAGCCCAGGGCTGTGAGGACACCATTGCTCCAGCATCCCCTAGATGACAGGAATCCAGGGAAGTTCCAATTCCAGCCCAAAACGAATCCTGCCTGCCTCCCGCACTGCAGGTAAGAGTGCCGAACACAGGCAAGCCCTCCCAAAACTTACTGTGTTGGACACCGCACAACGAAAAAATCATGTAAATCCTGTTACCAGGATAGGAACAAGCTTGTCATCACCCCCAGGATGGCGGTGTAGGCACTGCCTGAGGCACCAGCACCGCACAGCCCTCACAGCGCCCTCGGCCAGGGCCTGTCCCGGCTCGCCCCGGCACAGCGCAGTGAACAAAGACCGGCAGGGAAGAATGAGCAGGCGTTTGGGGGTGTAAAAGCTTTTCCTTTTGTTTAATTGTTTGCTTCACTTAACTAGAAGTTGATGCAAATGATTCCCCAAGGGAAATGTCACTCTGCCATGACCCAGAAGGGTTTAAGGGTGGCGTGGTGCATGGGTTGGGCATGGGAACACGCGGGGACCCAGCTCGGACACAGGGCAGACACCTGTGTGTGCAAACCCCAGCGATGCCCTTGCCAGCCGGGAGCACGTCAGGAGCCCCTGGGATTGCATCTTGGAGGAAAAAGAGGTCACCAGCCACCAACGCAGGGCTGAGCCTCCCTTGCACCCAGCTGGGTCACCTCCATGACCGTCACCCCTCCTCCTCCCTCGCCATGTTGGACTCCACCACTTGCCTCCACCCAAGCATCTCCCCAGGGCAGGGTGATATGTCCTTGGTAGGGCTTTCCAGCAGGTTTTGTGCAGGATCAGGCCCCCCAGGAGGACACATCTCGCCGGGGACGGTGCCATCCCCAGCAGCTCCGTGAGCAGAGGACGCAGTGAGGGAAGCTGGGGACACCCAGGCCCCCACGGGGCTCAGCGCACCATGAACCCCGAGCACGACGCAGCAAATGTCACCTGGGAGCACACGCACGAAAGCGGTTCCTCGGGGTTTCGCCCTGGAGGAGCCCCCGTGGGAAAAGTCCAGGGAGGCCAGAGAGCTGAAGGCAGGGCGTTGAGAGCAGCTGGGGAAGCCCCAGCGGTGCACGAGCTCCCAGCATCCGCCATCCGCGGAAAAGGCGGGAGCCAGGAACACCCTGATGCAACCACAGAAATATTTCCCTTGCTCTCAAGCCTGCGCCGGGCTGCCCTGGGGAAGGGCTCGGGGGGGAGGGAGGGATGCTCCGGCGGGGCCACGTCGCGCCCATGGGCCAAACGCCTCTGGTATCAAGGGGACGAGCTCGGGAAAGCTGGGATGCCAGGGGGGAGCAGATGCTCCAGCGGGGAAGGGACACAGCAAAACCCCAAACCAGGAGCTGACGTTAGGCTGATGCAAATCGAGAGTGGGAAGCTCAATCAAGATATTTTCTGGCTGAACAGGGATAAACACCGAAAAGCCCTTTGGGTTGCACAACCGCATTCACCCAGCCCTGTGACAGAGGCATTTGAATAATACAAGTGATTTTCTCCTTGGCGGGGCGAGAGCGGAGCACGGCAGGTAGGGGATGGAGGGTGGGACTCGAGGGGTTATTACCTGCAGGAGGTCACGGACACCAGTGCAGGAGAACAGTGTCCCCAATTCAGCCTCCCCCCCCCAGATTTGTTTACGCAGCACCCCATGACTTTAATTATACTTAAAAGCAGGGTTGCAATATAAAGCAAGGTTATAATTTATAGTCCAGGAGACACCTTGGGCAGGAAGACAACCTGAAGTGCCACCCAGCCAGAAAAGCACTGAGCAGCCGGGCGGCGCGGGAGGCGATAAACTCCGGAGGAAACTCCGAGCACACCAGCCCATGTCTGGGTTTACAAAGAGGATGAAGAAATTGAGAGGAAAAGGAGTTGCCGTGATGAAAGTCACCTTTAAGCCATCCGTCTGCTGCAGGGGATTGAAAGCAAAAGTTCTTCGTGTTCCCAAAATCTCCGATAAACCCGGGCCAGAGAGTCCAAAGTTTGTTAAATCCACAAATGTAACTTTCCGGGATGGGAGGAACTTGTGCAACCCCCCGCCGGTGTGGGAGCGGGCTGTGCGGGGCGAGG